AATATATATATTAATATATAATTTATATAATGATATAATAATATATACATATAATAATAATATATAATATTAATTTATATAATAATATATAAATTATAATAAAATAAGATTAATTTACGTAACATTTATGCTATTTGTTATCATATTATAGGTAATTTAATTGATTGATTATTTGGTCCTGTATCAGTTAAAACAAAGTTTAAGAACAGTATCTAGAAACAAATTCTACGATATGGATGAGCTATAAGAAATTAGAATAAGATTGGCGCATGTTATAAGACTAAGTTACCATATCATATGGACATATGTAATGATGTATTGATAAAATAACTAGTGTTCTTTATTCAATAAATTAGATAAAATCTACAAATTGGAGAAACATGTTTTCTATGATCTTCTTTCTTTAATTTACTTTTGCAATGAATGCAATGCATATCAAAAAAACTTATTAAAAGTTATTCAACTTGATATCGTGAAAACGGGATAGAGGCCCAACGCGAAGACGCGACGACGCGAAAACGCGAAAATGCGACAACGCGACGCATTGTTGCCCGTGCGGCACGATGACGGTACCGTCGACGCACTAATGTCCGTTCGACGCATAAATGCGTGTGCCACATATGAGCCATTGTGCGACTCGTGGCAATGCTGTACTGATACGCGACGCGAAAGACGCGAAAGCCGTCCGCGACACGATGACGGCACCAACGATACAACGACCCATCCGCGGCACGATGACAGCAACGACGAGATCGATCGCGTTTAGAAAATTTAACGGAGTATCTCGCTATGTGACTATATTGCTCAAGTGTCGCCGTGCGAATGATAATACGAAAGGAATTTGAATGTCTCGCCCCACTACAGTTTCTATTCAAGTATCGCTGTATGAATGACAACAAAGCCGTGAACAATAGCGCGCCAATGTTTACGTCGCCAAGGCCGAAAACTACAATATGTTATTTATAATTCACAGCCGAAATATTTTACGTATTGACATTACAATATACGCGAAATATTATATTACAGAAGTAGTTTAAATTATAAATTAATTATTTATTAAACGATTGATGTATTACGGAAGCCTTTCTTTATATTAATTACTTGATTCTGTGATTGAATTGCACGTTCTCAATTTGAATTATATTTAAATGATTGAAAAGTCATACAATATAAAGTATCGAATAAAATTTTTCTAACTCTAAATATCGTCGGAATATAGTTACATATTATTTAAATTGTATACAAGATAATTAATCATAATTTATATTAATCATAGCGAATTATTTCCCGATACTTTTCGCGATCGCGTTTAAAAATGGAATTTGACAGAGCGTCTCGCGAAACTATCTTTTTGCTCGAGTGTCGCCGCGCGAATAATAACAAGG